GTCTTGATGTTTTTGATGTTTTTTTTTTTCTCCCGAAACTCTTGAAAATTTTGAATAAATAAATGATTAATAAGGAAAAAATAAATTTAGATTTTATTTATTGAAAATGTAAATATAAAATAATCATGTTATAAGTGTTTTAACAAATGCACTTTTAATTTAATTACACAGCATTGGTTTAATAATAACGACAAACTACATTTTTTTCTCTCACATTAATGGGAAATTTGATTAAGACACATGAATCAATAAACGTGGATTGTAAATTTTGTAATAAATGCGCAGATTTTCGTTTATATGAAATTCAATTCATAGACACTCGCTCTTCATCTTTCTTCATCTTGTTATCAAAGAAATTTATTTTGCTTCTACTAAATTCAACTAAATTACTCACTTCTTTTTTTTTCAGTTCATTAAACTATAATAGATAGTTTATCTACGCATTTGAAACAAAAGTTTGAATTAATTCGGATGGAAAGTCCACAGTTAAACTTTAAGTTTAAAGTTTGAAAGTCCTTCTATCACACCGTTATTTTTAAAAAAAATGTGATAAGCAAATATCCATTAAACAGTAGGCTATCTTATTAATTTTAACGTTGCACATTATGACTCAGCAGTCAAGCAAACATTAGTGACATAGCATTTTGTTTTATCGCTGTTCAAAAACTTTCGGCGATGCGATTTGATGTGTATTATTGTTGTTCAACCACTATTACTCGATTCCTTTTATCGTTGTTAACATGTCTAGATACCTCAGCGGATCATCATGAGATCCCCTCGAAACTACATCGAACAAATTTTATTTCCAAAACTTTCTCGAACATGGATGAATTGAAACGACCACACCTGTATATACACGAAATGCATTGATCAATATCGATAGAATAGAATCAAAATTAATTACATTTCAACGTACAACTCTGATTAATCTTTATTTACGATTATCACGTTATCTCGATCAGTTAGCTCGTTTATCCGAAATCTACCGTTTATTGATTAATGACAAAAGTTTGCATCCTGTTCAAGTTTTCTTGTCCAGTCGTACAAATCGATATCCGGGCTCGACAATTATTGTTATCCCTACGTTATTAAGCGATAAGAGTGATAACGACTCGATAAGTACTTGTGTGACTGAAAATCGAAGAGGTATGTAACGCATTCGTTACGAAAAGTGAAGAGCTCGTTTTACGTATAGGAGACAGGTGTTCGTTTATTTTCCCTCGGATCTCCCGGTTACCCTTTGAATCTCGATTTATTCCAGCTGTTTGTTCCCCGACTTGAGCTCGTTGATCGAGCTCCTGCTGCACCAATATCTGCTGGCGTCGACGAAAGGATAACAGAACGTTTGTTATTCTATTAATCGTATCCCGTACGCATTTCCAATGAAGAATCTTTCAAAGTTAGCTTCGTTACGAAACAGTTGTGCATTTCGTCGTGATGCAACGTGTCAGTTGCAGTAGTTGCAGAGTTTTATACAAGATTGCAGAGCATCCGCACAACACACAATAAAATATAAAAATCTTTGGTACAGTAGAGAGACAAATTAAAGTACATTAACCTTTAATTGCATATATTTTTTAATTATTAATTGTATATATTTTTAACACGTATTTATCGTATATTAATTTTGTCCACGACTTGTTCGAAAGTATTCGCCGGTGTATCGTACGTCGGTTTAGGGAAAAATGTACAAAAAGCCAGGTCTTTTGTAAAATTCATTGCTATGCAGCGTGCCCGGCATTCAGTCAGTTTTGACGAAGTTAATTGTTTCGGTTTCGTGAAAGTCAACCGGTAACAAACTTCGGGTAAGAAGTGAATGCGCCGTGTTTCTGTTTCACCCGCGATTTTAACGATTTTCTCGAAAGAGGGGACAATGCGTTACATTGACGAGAATCTTTTGTACGAAAAAATAACAATGCGGTGAACACCGAATGTATTTTCGTTTTCTCCCGCGCTTTGTACT